CAAGATGGGCGTCAGTAAGTCGAGATCCGCGCTTTGATTTTATAATGTTCGTGGTTGAACGGCCTTCATTATTCAGTATAACCTCTTTCTGTATCAACGCGGGCACCAAAAAAAAGCCTCGGCGGGTGCCATGGCGCCCGCGGGCACGGCTTTGGGGACCACTGGTTTAGAATAATACTTTGCTACCTCAAAATGAAAATTATGTTTTCAGTACAGTTTAAAAGATTTCTAATGTATCAGTTGCTGCCGCCATGTTTAAAGGTAGTAACTGGCTCGTTCGGAAGTAGATTTGTAGGTTACCACGTGGTTCAAATAGTGAAGATCTGGTAAGGGTGCAAGAGTTTCTCATGTAGTGTTTTTATTATATTTTATATAAAAAACACTAAAAATATACCTGTGCTCTAAGTGAGTAAATATTCTGTTATTTAGTACCTTGTGTAAAAAAATTTTGTGTGTGGGTTCCAATTTTTATTTTGTTTACTACTGAAGATAAAAAGTTCCTTTTAATTTGAACGTATCAAAGTGTAGGAATGTCGCTTCCTACAGATAGTTTGAATGTTGGCTCTATATCGTGAGAATTTCAGTTTGGAGAACCTGTCGCAATGAAGTAATCGCCACGAGGATATAGTGATGAAGTTTCGTTATTGTGATATCTCGATATTAATAAAGTACGAGCACGTCAACGAAGTTTAGTGCGGAAAAAAAAGACTTCCCCATCGTTTGTATGAAGATTTGAAGAAAATGTAATGTCACTGAAATAGCGCAGAAGTGTTTTGGATTGTAAAATAGGGATGAACCTATCACCGTAAGGGTCAAGAAATGTCTGTAAATGTGAAAGTACGACATTTTTAAATCTGGCATCCGTATTCATGTGGCCTGCTACGAGTGCTATGCTTACGTGTTATCTGGCACCCGAAGTTTCTTCACATTTTTTCGGAGATAGCGTTTCGCTCGTAAGGCCTTTCATCCTCTCTATTAAAATAACGGCGTATATTTGAATTATCTTATGCCTGATGGTACGTAGATTAGAGGAATAGGTTGGGCTTTTTTGTAAATTACGGAAATGTGCCGGTATAATCATTTTGGAGTACGTGTTCAGCAAATTGTATATCATATGAACATCGGAGTCCTTATGTTGGTACGTTTATCATTTCTGTTTTTCCTTCGACGCGAAAGATATGTCATCCTTTTCTTCTTTATTGTAATATAAATTAAATACACATTTTGTCGGTACAATAAAGTATTATAGAGAAACGTGTAATAAGACGGTGTCTGGATATAGTAGCGATATCTTCAGACTGCTTACTGCCACATATTGAGTCAACAAACTCAGTACATGTTAATCGTTGTCATAAATGTAGCTTGTTTACAAAAGGAAAATGCTCCTGCAGATAAATTTTGTTGGTAACTAATGCCATGAAGTGGAGTTCTGAAAAATCTTATAGTAGTACATGTTCTTCTGTGTATTCGGTCCACGGCCTCTTCAGTTCTCCTCTTCCATTCGGTCCTCTGTTAGGTCCGTCTGTCCGAGGCTTTGATCGAGGTTTCGAAACGTCTTCCTTTTTACGGCGCAAGGTTGTTAGCCTTGCGACCAACCCCCAACCTGGAGGACCAGGGTACCTGTCTTAGTCTGACCTCTCCCCCTCGACCAATCTGGCTAGGGAGGCCCTACCAGTAGCTCTTGGGGTCACTGAGGTGCTCGGCACCACCACCACGACAAGGCGCAGGTACCATTAAGTCCTGTGTTCTTTTAATTGGTGTCTCAGCGTCGTTTATTAATTGACATTTGCATTCCAAAGGTTTAGAGGTGCTTTTTTAACCACCGGATGTTGGTATGACGGGACGTAAAGTAACGCCATTACTGATACAAAATTTATTTACGCGATCTTCCTTTCCAGAAAAAGTGACACATTGTTCTTTACAATCTGCTTCAGCATTTTCTTTCCATGTGTATTGTTTTATTAATCTTAAAGAATAGTGAAATGTATTTTTGATATTTATAAAGACTTTTCGTTAATAGTGTGACTTATTTTGGTCACGTTTCATAGTTCAGTTAATCTAGTGTTTTTACGTATCGGAGCATTCTGAATTTTTTTTTAACTGTGTGTGTTTGTGTGGATGATGGAAATACCTGTCAGCATTGCTGTAAGATGGATACTGCGAGCGGACATTGCAATATTTTCCCTTTAGCGTGGTTGGAATTTCTTTAGGAATTTATAGACTAAATTCTGCTTGTAACGTTGCGTTAACTTGCGGTGAGTCTGAAGACGGCTGTCTTCTGGGTTGTTGCGCCGTGTAATCTGGTACAAGTTTACCGACGTTTCAGAGGTCCTTGCTGCCTGTACCATTTTCCTGAAGATGCAGGCAACAGGTTTTTCCAGAATTTCGGTAATCTGCTCATAAACGTGATTACAAGGTGTCACAACCTTTAAGACTGCGATCTGAATGGATTTACGCTTGTTGATTATTCTGAATTTTTTGTGTAATCGAAATCCATCTCTGAGGAGATCTCCTTACGTGCCGCGCCAACATTCCATCTCATTTAGCTTAAGTAACGCGCATACCGGTAGCCGACGTATACCACGTTGCGCCTTTTCCGATTGTCGAAGTTTTTTTGAGTGACGTTTTAAAAGTTTCCTGTCCGCGTGTACCATTTATATGCGGAGTGAAATTGACAGTACTTTTTTCTCGATAGAACATTCCTACGTTTATAATGTTGATATCCGTGGTTCTAGTCGTAATTTTACAAATATTTTTGTATAAATTTTTTTAGCTGATGATAGTTTTATTTCTTTTCTTTTTTTTTGGATAATGTTTAAATTTCAATGTAGTTTTATTTGTATACTTTGTCTGGTTTGCCGTAGTTTTTATTCACGCGGGTCGTATTGGCTCTGTCGCTCTCGGCGTTTTTCTGCTAGGTATTTCCAGTGTTCTGATGCTGAGGCGAGGCACGCTGACTGACATACTGAGACGCAATGATATTAACCAGTAAATCTCAGGGGTTGTTAGCTGCGCAGTACCAGAGGAATCGTGTCGATATTCTCACGTAAACTTTTGTTTAAATCAATATTTTTATCCCATCATGACTTCACGAAATGAAAATTGTACTTTTTTCTTAGTTATTACCTGCAGATTTTATGGAGGAGTCTCATGATTTTTTTTTTGGTTTTGTTTTGGTTTTTTTTTAACTTTTATGATTGCTGTACTTGTGCAGTTAATAGTGTGGACACTGAATTGGTGTAAGACGGACGTCAAAGAGTACAGTCAAGTAGAGTATTTTTTTTTTTTTTTAGCAAACTTAATCTAATGTTGTGAACCTGCGTACGTGCAGCCCAAAGATTGTTACAATTAAAAGAGAAATGTGGGATTTAACCGTGAACTGCGGGTGTTTGAATTTTAGGACTGAGATCTAATTTTATAATTTTCTGAGACATTGTACTTTGTGTTTGTAGTTGTATCAGTATACTAGCGTGTGTGGCGGTACAAAAAGGACTCGGCGGTTGAAGTAGTTGTTTGTAAAGGCGCGGTGCCGCTGCCACTTTTATTCATATACGTGGAGTTGAAAATGTAATGATGTTCTCTCTCTTTTCTTGTGTGGCAGTGAAACATAATTTGCCGTCATTCAGTCAAGAGTTTTAATATATATTTTTTTATTGTACATAACGTAAGAAACGCGATGATACGAGATATATCTCTACATAAATGATCAGAATAAATTTCAAAATCTGAATCTGTCGGTGAAAACGCAGGAACGTCAGAAGAACAGTAAGTCGCGGTCTTCCAGGTTGTAAAGCAGTGGGAGTATTGTGGATGCTTACCAGAATTTCAGAAGAAATCACCTCCATCTTTAGGGTTGAATATCTAGAACAGTGAAGATCGGGAAGCAGATTTTTTTTTTATCGAATGTTGGGTGACCGTGTACATGGCGCTGCAATCCATGAAACGACGATCAACATTTTCACAGCCACGAGAATATTTTATATCAGGGGAAAATTTTGTTCATATGGCGGAAAGGTTCGGTTCTAGAGCGCTTACGTTTCAGCGATGCAAATATAAATCTTTATCTATTTTGGAAACAACTTATCACAAGACAGCGGAACAACGTTGTTGCCGGGAATTCACCAAAAAATTATCCGTGGTATTATTTAAAAAAAAAAAAATCGGCTTCTTGCAATTCAACCCTAATTTTGGAAATATTTTGTGTAAGATATTACGAGCTTCCTGGACAAACCTGTGCAAAGCGTACATCCGTACGATTTCCCATTCTCAAAAAAAAAAATTCTTGTGAATTTTGTGTTTTGCTGTTATCAGGTTCGGTAATTTTGACTGATATTGTTATATACTTTTATTTGCAATGATTGTACATAAGAATTATTTATCAGAAGGCGACAAATTTATCTTGCGTTTACTTGAAATTAGTGATTATTATTGTTAGATGAAACTCATTTTGTGTTTTTGGGTATGAAATTACATTCTTTGTTGGCTATTTTACTTAAAGAATTTATGTATAAATATTTATATTACAAATAGCATTTTTATTTTTTGATTAATCTCGATTTTCATGTCGTACGAGTGGTTTTTTGCGGATATAAGGAATGTCTAGGTTTGAGTTGTATACATAAAAATGCTAAGAAAATTTTTGGTTGTGTATTATATGTGACTCTGGAGATGTTATCCGTATCTTACGAAATTTTTATTTTAATATTCACTGTAAATTATTTCTTTAAAAATTCAGCAAGTGCTGATAGGTTTATCAGTGTTAATTCTATTTTAAGCATTCGAGGTGAAACTGTAAATGGTCAAAACATTTTATGCGGAATTTTTCGTCGGCGATGTTAAATTTAATTAAAATCATAAAAGCATCATAACGTGACGCCAACATTTATTTGAATTGGTGTTGCATCTAACGTGAAGAAATATTTTGTTCTAAGTTGCCAGCACTGAATGTAACTCGTCGTACAACACCGAAAGGAAGCATAAATGTATGTAACTTTCTGATATGTAATTATTCCATAAGAATTTGTATTTATTTTATATATAAATATATTTTGTGATTCCTGAATATTTGATACAAAAAAAAAGACAACATTTTCAGTATTTCACAACCATTTGATCTGTTCCCATTTAATTTCCCTCATTAAACCTGTTTTTATTCCGTGACTTGATTTCTCGGATGGTAAAGAGAGGATGTGATTAGGATTTGAGATTTTCGTAGCGATGAGTCCGATGGTGAAAACAAAGGAAACAGGTAAAATGATTATGTAAAAATAATGCTTAGGAACTTCGTAGAAAATATTTTTTTTTTTTTTTCATTTTTATTCCGAGTTTCCTAAATGAATGCTGCAAGTGATTGTGAAGTTCGAAGAGTTGCCTGGGAGTTTGCTTACGTCGAAGTCTGCATCTGACCTGGCCGATGTCATCAAAATGAACTGCTGTAGCGGTGAGTTATTGAGAAAAAAAACTATTTCCGTAAAGATTTGCTGTTCAAATATCATTTATTGACGGCTGAAGACGGAAATTTAATAGCTTAAGGGAGATGTCGAGTGCCTCGTCCACGGGACTACATTTCTCAGCCTCGGTATAATAAAGTTTTTTTATTTTATTTTCCAGTTACTTTAAATGTGTAACGATGGAGCTTATCGCCTGGAAATAGTACTGGCTTCCGTGCAGACTAAACTGACGTAAATTTACGGAGATTAAAAAGTCCCTCTGCCCCTTAATATTGCACTTTTAAATGAGGCGTTAAGGCTTTGACCGGGATGTTCTTTTGTTAAATCTTATGTGGTACCGCCTGATTAGACTTCTAATGGTTAAGTGAAGTGTTTTCTTCGCGGTACGGTCTGGATTCGTAAATATTATGAAGACGAGCTTCGGCTTCAAAGGGTTAACCAGCTGATTTTCGTAATGGTGAGGTGTAGTGTTTTCTTCGCGGTACGGACTGAATTCATAAATAATATTCAGACGATCTTCGGCTTCAAAGGGTTAATCATGGTCTTTCTACGAGCTTGAATCTTAAAGGACCGTCTGGCGTGTACATTGGATGAATTCGGTATTGAAGTTTTTCGTAATGATACTCGATCCTAAATGTCTGGATCATCTGAAACAAAGATAAAAAATTTATATATGGAGAATTAGAACGTTGGACTCTCGGTTGTACACGTGTGCAGTGTTGTGACTTATGATTGCGCGTCGTGGTAGTTAAATGTGATTTATATGTCAAAATTTCGTGTGGTCTACGTGGTGTTAGGAACTTTATTCTTTTACCGAAAAGCAGTTTCATATCGAACCTTAGCGATGACCATCTGAATCTCCAGATCTGCAAAGCGACGTCCGAGACACATCCTTCGACCGTAGCCGAAGGGTAGAGACGCGAAGGGATGATGCCCTTGCCTGCTTTTAGAACAGATTTTAAGCCATCTCTCCGGTAGGAACTCATCGGGTTGTGGGAAGTAGTGGTCCAGGTTGCTGATCACGTGATGTTGAAACACTGCCTGTACCTGAAGATCCAGAAATCAGCTGTTTAGGAAAGGTTTTTGTAATGAAAAAGATGAGATGATAAAGTTGCGTCATATTGTGATAAATATATATTTATTTAAATCTTGTCAGTCTAATCACAATAAAATTCCTATTAAATATTAAAATATTACTATAATTAACATTTTAAATATTTAAAATATATCAATGATGTTCTCTATCATCACTGATGATCTAATGTAAATCGAACATTTCGATAGAGAACATCATTTAATATATTTTAAATATTTAAATGTTAATTATAGTAATATTTTAATATTTAATAGGAATTTTATTGTGATTAGACTGACAAGATTTAAACAAATGAAAAAGATGTGAAATTGGTTTTTATTCATGTTACAACGTAACCTTACTCCTTTTGGTATCTGGTATCCGGCGACGACTGTGTCTCTGGTCATACATCTCCCGTTGCCAATTACAACTGGATACATCCTGGAACGCAAAACATCGTCGGTAGAAAGATGCTGCGATTGGAGTCGTATCGTTTAGGTCACGTTATGCTGATTAGGGACAGATAACTTATTTTGGGGTTTGGACCTAGCGTCGAACTTAATAAATTTTTGCCTTCAGATAAAAATTGTAAATATTTTGGGTAACTGAGAAAGTGAGGAACATTTCATCTGCAAAAATGATCGTGCGGAAATGCCTACAGAAAGTAATACAGATTTTATCTCTGTAGTGCTTTGAAGTACCTCAGAGTCTCCTTAATGCACGCTTTAAGGTAAACGAGTTTCTCCAAGCCTTGCGCCGTTAGAGACGAGTTGTGTGACGGCAGAACATTCCGGATTTCGTCATACAGGATTTCCTGCTTTTCCGGATGCTGTGACAACTGATACAAGATGGATGCCACTGCTGTGGATGTCTGTATCAGTGAATGAAAAATCTAAATGATTATCGTAATATTATCACAGATGTCAGTTTGGATTTATTGTCAAACATGCAGAGAAAACGAGCATTTTTATTGGTATATTGATCTGAAACCTCGTATCAAATACTTCAACCAGCTTTCTTGTACGCCACTTAAAATGTTATTCACGTATTTTTATTTTGATAAGTACTGATACGATGATAAAGTAATTTTCCCAGTGACAACTGCACCCTAACGTTAGTCCCAAATGTGATGTCTTACTGTATCAATCCCGACGAGGAACATGTCGATCGCCAGGATGCAGGCCGTCTTGGGGTCAGAATCTGTAGCTAATACTCTCTGTAGAAGGGACGAATCGTTGTCCACCAGAACAGGTCCACCTGAATGAAGACGTTGCAGAGCTGTACTGATGTGCTTCATAGAGATGCTGTTTACATAAACATGTCAAACTCTTAGCACAAAATTTATTTTTATGATGTTTACTGTCAAAATTCTGAAACACACGTAAGATCGTAACAATTTGTTGGAACTGTTTTTGAAATTCAAATACAGCGTTTATGATAAAGATGTTAAGGAACTTAACGCTGTAATATTCATGTGAAACAGTAACCATTTTGTTATCCTTTCGGGCATCAGTTAAGAACAGAAATTCTTTATCAGTCTGTGGGGAATTACTTTCTAGATGGAGATATTATTTCAAACGTGAGACTTCTGTTATGAATTAATACACACTAGAAGATTTTATCAGTTCTAGTCGCCAAGAAAGCTTTGAGATTTTCATTCAATATCTCGTAAAAGTTTAATGCTTTTATGGGATTTGACGGATGAAAGTACGAGGACTTTTAGTATTTCGCTACTCACTCGGTAATCGTGTCCAGGGCGGCGATGTATTTCTTCCAAGTTGGTGTGCTGAATATCCTCCAGAACGGAAACTTCAGCTCTAGAATCCCGACATTTGAAAAGAATGTTATCACCGCGTCTATCAGTTTCTGCGTGTCTGAAGTGGAACAGGAAACTTGTTCGTCCAGGCACCCCAGTCGCATGTCGAGGGCCACGCGTGCTATAGCTGTTTTGTTTTTTTGCAGAAAGACAAAAATTCCGACATCCATTTCTTGAAAATTTTGTATCTTACATTTTGGTCGAGAGTCTTATACAAATTATCGGCAGACTTTAATGAATGGTAACTTAGAAGTTAGTAGGGACGAGTCGTGGCCGATTTTTTTTTTAAAAATAATTTCATCGCCGGAACTAATGGACGCAACTAAGCAATACAGTTACCACACATCTATCTTCTTGGAATTTTTATCTCGTCGTGACCAATTTCATGCGTGTTGAAACTCATAGTATACAAAACGTATTTGGCACCAGTAAACAGAATTCGTATTTGGTTTTCTGGCAAGAGTGGTGAAGTTTGGATTTGTTGACGTCGTTTGTTTAACTGATAGGATGCAAATTTGCATAAAGAAAAGTTTCATGATTTGTACTCGTCACCAAATATTATTATAGTGATCGAGCACACACATCCTTGAGGTGACAAATGCGTAATGGAAAAGATCATTGTGGGAGCTGTTAGACATATGCAGGAGGATAATATTAAAATTGTTCTTAAATAAAATGTGAGGATGCAAAATGAATTATACTGGCTAAGGATTGTGACGTGATTTGATAAAATTTGTACTCACACTCCAGTGACCATTTGTGGATCTCGTTAAGAAAATCCTCGGGCACTTCCAGATTACTGTCCCTCAGTTTCTTCGCTCGTTTCACAAACGCCACGGCCGTTTCTTCGATGGGCTTTGTGTACAGTTTTGCCGTTCTCGGTTGTAACATCGCCTGCTGCACTCTGGTTCGAAAGTTGTACCAGTTCTCACCATGCCTGTCAGACATCTTGCATCATGATACGTATAAAAGCTGTCAGTTGTTAAAACAGTTTAGAAATTAATCTTCCTCGGCATACTTTCATTTATAAACCGTTTATTTTTTAAATTTTTCTTAAATACTCAGATGGATTCTTCTTAAAGTTAACAAAAATTTAAACATCAAGATCAATAATTTATCATTATGCATAATTTCATATGCTAGGCTTAATGCATATGTTGTTAGCATATTGTAACGCAGTGATATTCAACCTTTTTTGTTCGCGTAGCGGTTAGAACGCTGGCCCTGTAATCCTGGGGCCTCGGGTTCGATTCCCGGCGGTGCCCGAATTTATAACTTGTGTTGGGCAAGGCCGTGGTCTAGGCAACACGGAGTTTTCCTCCGTGGCATCCCAACAATTACTCCAGTCACACACAGAAGAAGGCAATGGCAAACCACTTCCGGATCATCTGCCAAGAACGTATATGAACAAGTCCCAGTCCGAGAAAAGGATGGAAGGATCCTGGTCATATGGACCTGTCGTCAGACAGAACACTAAAAAAAAAATTTTCGTACTCTGTTTTCGTGTAGCGAAACTTAGTGGTGTGACCTCACGTATGTTTGACAAGTTAGTGTGTGTCGGTGAACAAATTTTCGGAACACTGTCCTAACTCTGTACCTTTCTTATTCGGTCGCACCAATAAACATCACATAAATGTTCAACACAAACGTTCGGTCTAAAGAAGACGACTAAAAACGGTTCGTACCTGTCTCTAACAGCAAGAAAGACGTTGACACAAAAAATGCACGAATACATTAATGCCCCATCAAAACTATCCGCATCACTTACTAAGAAAAGTTTATCAACAGCAATGTTTGGTACACAATTTACCAGCTGCACAATAACATTACTGAGGATAAGGTTATATAAATAAAAATACTAAACATGAAACAGATGCAATGCGTAAGTAATATATGTATTATGATTCACAACGTTTGGACATATTGGAGTAGTCGTGGCCTATTTAAAATTGTCTCAGCCAGAGATCGGTCTTTATAAACTACGTGCATTGCACGTAGGTGGGAGGGGTGTTGGCGTAGCAGCACGTTAAACACACCTGAAAGTAGGTGAGTTTTGTGTCGTGCCGCGTTGCTACACGTTCTCCGACCGTAGCCCCCGCGATGACTCGGTTTGTTTCTGTGTTTTGAAATCTGAAGCAACGTCAAGGTGCGTGAATATTTACGCGCAAATGAAGGTTGTGAAGCGAATTCAATTCTGATATAAACCCAAAATTTTTCGTGAAGTTAATATCGAATTTGTCGAACTAAAGGAGTTCAGTTTGTTTCGGACATTTCCTATACAAAATTTTAAATCAGTGAAATTACAAATTAATAACATTTAATACAAAATTTAATGTTTTTGAGCCAGATAATAGCATGAATTCCTAACCTCTAACCGGTCTTCTGACAATGGATTTCGTATTTGTCCTGAACGGGCTTCGAACTCAAAATTTCAAGACATACGAACAACGACGCTGTTATCAGATTGCACAGATTGATTGATTGATTGATTGATTGATTGATTGATTGTTTTTGTTGTTTCAGTATTGAAGTGTAAAGCTATTGAAACTTGAAAATAAAAAGGTTCGACAGCGGTTTATGGCGGTAAATATTTATCTTTACATGCAGTTAGTTTGTTGAGTAGATGGAAAACAATTGAACAAATTACGAACCCTTCCCAGATGGCGTGCCAAATGTCGAAGAACCTAAGTTTACGTCTATGTTTAACATACTATAAAATGTAATGTGTACTAGCTTCTAAATCAGATGTTATTGTTGGCATCTAACCAACTTATCTGGTCGTTCTAAGTTCATTAAACATTGCTGAAGATTAAACGTTATCTGGAAGAATCGACTTCAAAAAGAGTTCGGAAGAAAATGTTTAACTCGAGATTTGTCAATTTTTTTACGCTCATTGCCATATGCGCGTGCTTTCAGCTTTCAATGGCGTATTTTCGCTCTTAAATGTCGGTAAACAGGTCACCTCTGTTGTATTTTATTGTAGCTGTGAGAATAAGTCACTACATTCCATTGTTTGGACTTTAAGTCACTTGCAGATTGCAACAAACAAAACGCTGGACGATAAGAACTGTAACAATTGAACGTCAGATGTAAGTTGTTTCCTGTCACGTGAATAACGTAGTTGTTGAAATCGTCGATTCAAAATGAAGTCCCCATTATCCTTTGTCTTATTGTTTATACTATTTTTAAACTGAAATAATTTAAAATTTTATTCTTTGGAATTTATATGTTAGCATCACTTATTTCGATATTTTCAAACTTACACTTATCATAATTAGACGAAAACAGTGCCATATTTCATAATTTATATATTTTTTTATATAATTTTCAGGGAAAATTATAATTTTTTTGTCTGTGTACATTATGCAGATAAATAGCACGTTCGTATTTACTTTAAAAGTAAAACTAATTCTGTACCTGAATAGCTGAGCGGATAAAACATTTTGATAAGCCCTTAACCTTAGTCTAAATAGCCTTTGAAGGTTAGGTTAGTTAATAGATTTCCAGTCTTTTATGAAATTCGAAGGTTCGCTGGTTCCTATCCTGAGCCAGTTTAATCTGGTCTACACACTTACTCATTCTTTAACCCTTTGAAGCCGAAGATCGTCTGAATATTATTTATGAATTCAGTCCGTACCGCGAAGAAAACACTACACCTCACCATTACGAAAATCAGCTGGTTAACCCTTTGAAGCCGAAGATCGTCTGAATATTATTTATGAATTCAGTCCGTACCGCGAAGAAAACACTTCACTTAACCATTAGCAGTCGAATCAGGCGGTACCACATAAGATTTAACAAAAGAACATCCCGGTCAAAGCCTTAAGATCCACTTTACTGTGATCCGACCATCTATACCTAGATCTCGCAAGTGATCTTTTCTTCCGGTTGGAAATATTATATTTCGATGTCCTGACTCATTTTTGTTTGAATTTTGAAATGAACAAGGCCCGGGGCCATTGTCTGCAGATCAGTGTGGATTACTCAACTTTTTAAACATGACACTTACGTTTGAACGTAATAAGAAAAGAGGACTTTCTCCGATGACCGCGTTTCTGCGACATTTTACGTAGTAGCTCCAGAAGAAAACAAACAAAGCCGAGTTGAGGCACTTGGAAGTAGGTCTGACTGAGAACAAAAGACCATCTTAACTCAGCGTGAACTGGCCGGAGTCATCCGTGCTCTAGGTCGTGACTAGAGGAAACTAGGACGAAAAATATTGGCAGAGCAGAGATACACACTAAATTATCGTATTAGCCATTTTAAGCTTTCTCTGCGTTCTAAAAAAATGCATACATCTCCAATCATTTTCATGGGTCAGATTATATATTTCGTGTGAGATCAACCCAGGGATAATTTCATTGTAGTTTTGTGTATCTAACTGCTGGGAGCAGACTCTTTCTTGAAAATCTGATACTCGCTCAGCTAATTAAGAAACGTCCTGCCTTTTATGGAGCCTAAACATTCATTACCGTGGTTCGTATCCAGAAGCAATTGAATTCAGTCTACGCCCTCCTTCTCTCAGATACTCCCGTCTACGTCCATGTCTTCCAGTTGGTGTTTTCCTTCAGTTTTCTGACCAAAATGTTTCACGTTGTATTTCAAAATTTTTACATGCGTGCTGTATGCCCCTCCCATCTAATCCTCTGGCGAATAGTACGAAAGTTATTGTGCGCTTTGGTTAATTCTTTTATTTACTCCTTCTTCAGTCCAAATATCCATTACTACTGTCTTCTGAGCAAGTATCTTAACTCTTTAAAGCCCAGTGGTAATTATATGTACCACCTGCTTTAACAAACAATAAACTTGCACTTTTTCTTATGGATTTCCTCTGATTCTCATAATAAACAGCGATTATTTTCCTAAACAGCGTTAATCAGTTGATCGATGTAATGGTGAAGTGTCGTGTTTACTTTGCGGTAAGGACTGAATTCTTAAGTATTATGTACGCAGTGCGTGTCTCATTATAAACAGCGTTTATTTCCTTAAACAGCGTTAACCAGTTGATATTTGTAATGGTGAAGTGTTGTGTTTTCTTCGCGGTACGGACTGAATTCTTAAATATTATGTACGCAGTGCGTGTCTCATTATAAACAGCGATCATTTCCTTAAACAGCGTTAACCAGTTGATCCGTGTAATGGTGAAGTGTCGTGTTTTCTTCGCGGTACGGAATGAAATCTTAAATATTATTTAGACAGGCCTCGGGCTTCAAAATGCCAACTCGTTTTATTTAAAGAAGATACTGGAGTTGTAACCTCGTCCGTGGTGTCGCGTCTAGAAAAAGCTGTCTCGTTAGGCAACGCTAAAAGAAGACGATGTATGTGAAAGTGTAATCTGTTTGTTGCACAACGTGGGACGAATAGGTCGAGGCCAGCATGATCCTCTCTTTCTTCCTTCCTTCTAAGTGATGTTGCTGACCCTGCCTCTAAAACACACTCCGTT